ACTGAGATTTATTTACAAGATTATGTTTTATATTAAMGGGCAGAATATCCTGGATTAGTTCCACCTGGACGGGACTGTCCTCACACCAGACACCAGAAACAGCCGTGTTGTCTTCGTATAGCTGTACTGTACTGTGTACTACTGTACAGTACAGTACATTGTTTTACATTGCAGTACAGTTTAGTATTATGTAGTACAGTGCAGCACAGTGTCGTACTGTGTCTCCTGATAATTTTAAACAAGAAATAAATGCAGACTACGATTTATTTACAAGATTATATTTTCTATTAACTGGCAGGCAGCCGTAGAATATCCTGGATTACAGAAGATGAATCTGCTGAACAACAGAAAGTTAGTTATCAAGGAGACAGACTTGTGTTTATGATTTAAGCTCTGTTGGAAAATGAAMAACCCAAACAGCGTGAACAGAGCTGTGGGTTTGGAGTCTTCAGATTAAAGCAGATTAGGAGTTCTCAGATTGAGTTTTCAGAGAAGCTGGAGCTAACAGACAGGTGTTGCTCCTCAGCTGACTTTCCTCACACGACCGACTCCTTCAGAGTGCGGTCATTTGGAGGAGGAGCAGCGTGRAGGAGGAGCTCCCTCTGAAGCTCCACCTGGACGGGACAGTCCTCACGCTGGACACCAGAAACGGTCTCGCTGTCTCCGTACAGCCGACTGATTTGCTTACAGATAAGTCCTTCTGTCTCTGGTGGAGACAGCCCGTCTCTGCGTCCCTTCGTCTTTTCTCGGTACGTGTAGGACGCTTGTTTGATGGCCCGCCGCAGGAGGTGCCTCCTGTACGCTCTCTGGATCACAGAGGCTGAAATCTCCTCCTGTTTCGTCCTCAGGGTGCTGATTACTGGTTCGTACAGTTTCTGGAACACAAAGGGGTTGTCTTTGTGATGTTTTATTAAGTTATTGAACAATCTGAACATATAAAGCTTATTTAATGACAGAATAAAATAAAATCCAAATAAAGATAAACCTTGGAGGGATTGTTGGCCATGTACTTCTCCTCGATGTTGGTCTTTAAAGCATCCATCGCTTCGGACTCACCCAGAACCTGTAAACAGATCCAAACACATCAGCACAACACAACAAAGACATGACTAAAACATGACAACACGTAAGAAATCACCTCTGTAGTGAGAGCCAGCAGGATGTCCATGCAGTGGATCTTGTCTCCTGGAACCAGAGGCAGATCCATCTGGATCAACTTGACGATGTTGGGTTTGGGAATCCTCAGAGGAGCCTGCAGAGCGTCACATAATTCTGACAGCTTACTGCGAAACAATCAAAGCTGGGTTAGACGCGGCACTTAGACAGGAAGTCTCAGCCCACAGGAAGTGACGCACTCAGGTAGGACTCACCTGTAGTGTATGAACTGTGAAGCCTTGGGGTCAAACTTCTCCCAGGTCTCATAGAACATTTCGAAGTCATCCTCGGACAGGGGGTCCGAGCTCTCCTCTGTGGCCACGTTGAAGTTCTCCAATATGATGGCGATGTACATGTTGACCACCACCAGGAAGGACATGATGATGTACAGGGTGAAGAAGACGATCCCCACCCCGGGGCTGCCGCAGTTTCCTTTGACGGCCGAGCCGGGGTTCTCAAAGTCTGGATCGCAGTCCGGTGGGGTGTTCATGATGGGAACGAGCAGGCCGTCCCACCCGGCCGACGTGGTGATCATGAACAGGCAGATCATGCTGTTCCCAAAGTCCTCAAAATTAAACATGTCGTCAATCATGCCTTCCTTCTTCACGTAGGCGAAGTTCGACATCCCAAAGATGGAGAAGATGAACATGATGAGGAAGAGCAGGAGGCCGATGTTGAAGAGGGCAGGAAGTGACATCATCAAGGCGAAGAGCAGCGTTCGGATGCCCTTGGCTCCACGGATGAGACGAAGAATCCGACCGATCCGAGCCAATCGGATCACACGGAAGAGAGTGGGCGAGACAAAATATTTCTCTATGATGTCAGCAAGAAGCAGGCCTGAGGAGAGGAAGGAAGGAAGTGGAGTTAGGTATAAAAACAGAAAGGTGTTTTTAAATTGAAGACCTGCTCACCAGCGATGGACAGTATGACCACCACGAAGTCGAAGATGTTCCAGCCCACAGCGAAGTAGTGCTGCCTGAGAGCCACGATCTTCAGAACGCACTCGCTGGTGAAGATGACGATGAAGACCAGATTGATCCAGTACAAGATGGCTTCCTTCTCCTCGCTCTGCTCGTCCGTTTCCACCATCATCGTCACCATGTTGAGGCAGATCAACACCATGATGAAGATGTCGAAAAACTGTTTGGTCACCAGGTCAAAGACCAGACCCTGGAACATGTTCTGAACAGAAACAGAAAGTTTCTTTAAAGTCACTCCTAATTAAAGTTTTGTTTTAATAAAGTTCGTCACGTCACTGACCTTCGGTCGAGGAATTGGTTTTTGAGGCTTCTTGGAGCCCAGTTTCTTCATGGCGTTGTAGTATTTCTTCTGATCTTCAGTCATGAAGAGATCCGTTCCTCCGAGGTAAACACAGACAGACGCATTAACTGACTGACAGAAACTATGTTCAGGCATTTTGGATTCACTGAGCAGAAACTTATCTTAGCTTTCTGCTGGTTGAAGTTATCGATGATGACGCCGATGAAGAGGTTGAGGGTGAAGAACGAGCCGAAGATGATGAAGCAAACGAAGTACAGGTACATGTACAGGTTCTCCTCGTACATCGGCTGGGACTCCACCTACGCTCAGACACAAGAGGAGATATTTGTAATTCTTCTTCTTCTGCTAAAAAGGTTGTTAAAACTGCACCAACAGCTGGTTTTAATGCTGAAGTCAGAACAAGCTCCAGCTCCAGTATTATTACCAGTGTTAGAACCAGTGGTGGCCACAGCTTATCCTAAAATTAGCTCGGCAATTTCTAAAACGCTTACGCAAATATTTAGGTCCGCAACTTCAACAGCGCTTATGCCATAGAAAAACTAACGGAAGCTAATTTTAAAGCACACGTTCAATTTGACACTTACTAGCTGGTAACAATTCATGTACAATATATGAACAACACTGCCAACTATCAGTGTATTGTACAGTTTAATCCTACAACCGCCGATTTCTGGGGATGTGATTTCCTGAAACAGACCTTTAGCTTCTGGTGTAAAAATTAAAAAGTTGTTGAGGATTGCTAGTTTGGCTGCTTCTTTGTCTTTTTCTTTTGTTTGTTGTAGATTTTTCATTAAAGAAGCATCAATAAAGCAATTTTAAAGCTGTTTATTGGAAAACTGAAGCGATGCATTCTGGGTACATGACGGATTTGATTTGTGACGGGAAAGCACGGCGTACAGGAAACTATCTTCCCTTCAAAGTAAGAGCTTGGATTTTAAAGTTTTCCATGTAGTTGCTCCAGTTGACCACTAGATGTCAGTCTTCATCAGCACAACATCTTTGAATAATTTCTAACCCCGTCGGCTGATTGCTTCGACCAATTACATCAACTATTGAGCACAAGTGTTTAAACTTTATTTTTTTTAAAAGGAGCTCCGATTGTAAAGTAAAATAAATCAATACAGACAAAATTTTAGTATGGATTACAAACGTTAACTGTTTTTGCTATTGCCTTCCTGCTACGTAAGCAGACACAAAGCATTGTGGGAAATCAGAACCTTGACCCAAAGCAACAGTCAGCAGGATGTATACCTTCACAATAAGTGTGTTTATCTGGGAGGGGTGCTGTTGGATAGATCACATGTTGTGATTCATTGACAGCCATACCTTACACTGTTCAACATAATGATGACTGGTAGATAATTAGTTATTAGCAGTACTGCATTTTAATTTTAGAAAGCGCAAATCTGCTTATGAATTATAAAAATTAGTAAAACCGCTGAAGAGCAAATGAAATATTTAGGTCTGCAATTAGCAGATTTGCGCTTTAGCGGGCTGGTGCCCACCACTGGTTAGAAACTGAAACACAATCAGTTCTGACCTGTCTGGAGTCCACCGCTGAGTACATGATGTCCATCCATCCTTTAAAAGTGGCCTGAAGAAAACGAAAACACCAATAAACAAAGTCTGTGTTCAGAAAGCAGCAAACAGCAGTCTGATGTGGACACCAGGGGAAATCTGCGGACCACTTGCAGCAGCGACAGGTAGCCCATCCCCACGTTGTCGTAGTTGATCTTGGCATTCTTCCAGCGGACCTCAGTGAAGTTGTTCTGTATCAGCTCGAAGCACTCGGTCTTATTGTTGACCTGCTCAGCGGGGAACCTCTCCCCTGCTGTCTCGTTGAAGCAGTAATAAAACTTCCCTGCAAACAGGTTCACGCCCATGATGCTGAAGATCAGCCAGAAGATCATACACACCAGCATGACGTTGAAGATGGAGGGTATGGCTCCAACCAGAGCATTAACCACCACCTGCCACAGGTGCAGCAACAGTCAGCACATCCCAGAACCAAACACCTGTCTGACGGTCAGCATCCTGAACACCTGCCTTACCCTCATGCCCTCAAAGCGAGACAGGGCCCTCAGGGGTCTCAGCGCTCTCAGAGTCCTGAGAGACTTGATGGCTCCCAGCTCAGAGTATCCCAGGATGTTTGCCGTCAAAGACACCAGAGACACCTGCAACAAAACAGAAACACCTGGAGAGGAGTTCACACAGCAGGCGACCACCTGAAACTATCGTCTGTAGCAGGGGCAGAGCTAGGATTTTTCTGAGTAAGGGGCCATAATATTCATAGAGGGGCCAAGTCTTTGTTCAACATCATTTCACAAAATTAATATGTTAAAATATGTGTTTCTTATAGTTATTGTACTTATAATGTAGTAACCTAGTGTGAAATGTTTAATAAGCACCTTTAGATGTAATATTTATGTGAACAGATTTGTCTCAGTATTCAGTAAGAAACTGGACAGTTTTGTCTCTTTCTAGTCATTGATTATTGCATAATAAACATTTATTAATGATTTATAAAATGTTTATAAATGAATCAATAACCTATCTATAAACTCTTTATAAGCCATACAGTATATAAGGGGAGCTTGATCGTAAAGTTGTATCAAAAAGCTTGCTCAGTAAATTCTCCTCACCAGTTTTTTGTTATGATTCTGTCTCTGTCTGTCTGCTCTTGACCCAGTTCTTGCCCCTGTCTGCCTCTGCCCCTCCCATCCTGTTCCTCAGTCTGCTCATTGCCTCTGCCCCTCCCGTCACAGAAAACTCAATCAGCTCATTTAACTCACCTG